CCCCAAAACCCCAAAACCCCAAAACCCCAAAACCCCACAATCCATGAATAAGTACTATAAAGAAGATAATGAATTGCATATTTGTGTTTGTTTAAATAAGTTTAACATCTAGATGTGCATATTAACTCATCACAAGAGTGAATCATGCCTCTAGAGCTGGTAGTTCGACAGTGGGATCTTCTAGCACTTTATATAGGATCTCGCTGCCTTTGTTTATCAATTAGAAGCCATGTCTTGCTGTGGCAGCAATCTCTGGGGTTATTGCTTTTCTGTGTTTAATCAGAGTTTTCTCGATTATTTCAATAAGCTCATCTGAACCTCTGCCGACATTAGCGAGGCAAACGAGTATATCACATAGTTTTTCTAGTTCGAAATATCTATGAAGTCTCTCATCAACTAGTTTCTGTTCAACTAACTCCCAAAACTCATTGTCTTAAAGTGACATGGCTGATGCTCCCTCGATAAAATGGAATAATGATTTAGTGCAGTTTCTATCAAGTGTAGCGAGTTGTTTCTTAACTAGAGGTACTATTTCGTTCCAGAACTCAGGATTTCTTTCAAGAGCATTCATGCCAATGAACCAAAAACCATAAGCTATTTGGAAATCGGTCATTGACTTCTCAAACTTCCTGAAAATATATGCGATTTGATCAGTCTCCTTTGCACCCATCAAAGCAAAGTTGCACTCATGGAAGATTGAACTGTAGTTATCAAAGTGTTCGTTGTAGCCTCTTTGATGAATCATTCTTACTGGAGTCTTTATGAATTGGAGTGCTCTGGCAGCAGGACTAGCTGAAACACTGAGGCGTGATCTTGCTAGCAAGAATGCTCTCTTGTAAAAATTCATTTTTTATTAATATTGTTTATAAATAATTTATATAATTCCCAATATCATTAAACATTATAATCACGCTATCATAGCTATACCCTTTTCGTTAAGCGCTTTAAATTCTGCTTACTTTGACCGATGTGTGCTATTTAATCTAAATATCCATTCTCCATGTAATCTATTGGGTCAAGCTTTGACTTTGAAGTGTCAATTATCATAGTTTAATTGATCGATACTCTGGAGTTTTTGTACTTAGCGATATCTTTCAAAATCTCCTGTTATCTCTAATTAAGGAGACTAATATTTGATGTCTTTTATGTTTATTTCTCAAGCGATATATTTCGCTTTTAGCTTCTGATATAATTACAATTCCTAAGTAGTTTCTTGGCAAGCTCTTTTTCATTTGAATTCAAGCTGTCAGACTGAGATTAATTCATCATACTATTCTAGTGATTTAAATCCATAATCCAATTTTCAGAGGCATTATTATGAACTTAGTTTGACTTCTACATTGTTTACTCCAGCAATGGGGCTACTCTGATTGCTCGTTTGAGTGTTTCATCGTTTGTAGTACCTCCTCCATTAACTGGATTGACAAACATTTCATATACTGCTTTGAAATGAGTCTTCTGATGCAGACCAGAGTGGAGATCTCTTGGAGATAGAGCTCCAGCTTATGTTATATCAATTGTTCTATTATTTTTATTTCTGCTTAAAGAGATTTTAGAGGATTAATTGCTCATGAATCTCTAATTCAGAAGAACACTAGTGTTCCTACTATTTTACAAAGTATCAAATACTCTTTCTATAGAGGTATTAGGCTTGTATTTAAAACCTGGCTGATTCGGGTCTATAACTTTGGTTCTATCAAATGGTCTCAGATTCAATCCTCCATCTTATGTTTAATTTCCATACTCTCCAGGATCAGTGTTCAGATATTAATTTTTCCCAATGGCTTCTTATATCCTTTCAGCTACATTAGATGCGAATCTCATTTACTTAGCAGGTCTTTTCATCAGCTGATGCGAATCAAGCCTTATGCTCTATTTGAATCTAAAATCTGGGTCATTAGATGGATCGATAAATTGCTCTCTTTGAATTTTAATGGGATTTATCAACATATTTTTTACAAATTGTGCTATTCTTTCATTATATTACAATGACAATCTGTTTCTTTTCTCTTATAGTATTAAAAAGGGGGTAATCTTACCAAGAAGAGATTTATTTAGTTTGTCTTAATTTTCCTGGAGTAGTTTCTAATTGGAGGCGTCTGACTAATATTTGTCATGTTTGTAAACATTAAACATCCTTAATTATAATTAATAAAATAATCATTAACATCTACTCATTCTAATATAAAATTAATGAACTTTGAAACTTAAATAGAATTAAAACTAATTAGTATCCTAATATATAGCCAGTATTTCAATATAAAATTTCTCTTTAATTATCATCTCTTTCAAAATCTGGTTCTTCATCATCTGCCCCTTCAGCCTCCTCTTCATCATAGTAAGATTCTTCTTGATTTGGTTCCCCCTCATCTTCTTGCTTTTAAGGAAATGGATTAAATGGATCAAACTCTTCACCTTCTCCTGGATTATCATGCTGTTTATATTAAGACTCAAGCTTGAATATGTCATCAGTGGCTAGTCTTGTTTATTTTTTTTCTATTTTAGTTGACCTATCAACTTCTTTTAATTCTTCTGCTACCTTTATTGTATCAGCCTTTTTAATCTCCTGAGACTACTTGACTGAGGCGTTTCTATTAGTTTCAGGTCCTTAGGATTCTGAATAGTATTCATCAACTTCTTCTTCTTTATAGGTATATTCACTCTTCTCCTCTTCTTCATTATTTTCCTATTGAGCTGTTCCTGTATCTTAGCGACTTTCGGACTATCTCTGATTGAAATCCTCACTGTTAGAGGATTATTTGGTTTTAACCTTCTCATTCTTATTTTAGATCATATTGTTAACTGCATTTGTGCTGATCATCTCATATCCAACTAAAGTTTAGGTCTGATCATGATTGTATGGCTGATAACCGGTATATGATACTGCTGATTGCTGTCTAGGTGGTAGCTTTTCACTGACCTTAGAAGACTATCTTGAAATAGCTTTCATCAGACTCTCTTCTTTTTTCTCCTCTTCTTTGATTCCAGTTTCCAACTTAATGTAGTCTTAAGCTTTTATAAGATTTTGAGGCTCATAAGCATACTGAGATTATTATGATTAAGAAGGAGACAATACAGTTAGCGTGGATTTCTAACCTTCATTCTATTTTCTCAAAAGTTAAGTTTCTAAACTTTCAGGTAGTTTCCTCTTATCTATGCCTATTGATTTGAGTCCCTCACTGTTTTAAAAATCAGTCATCACTCTTCTAAGCTTTTTCATCATAATCTAAGTCTTAAAGCTTTCATCGATACATAAGAATAGAGCGAGATTGCTTTTTATTTCGTTAGTAATGATGATTTCTAACTCGTAAAGCTTATCAAAGAAGTCTATATCTTTGATGAGCTCTACTTATTCAGTTTTATCTTTTGCCTTCACATTTTATTGGATTATTTTATCTCCAAAGACATCATCTACAGTTTATTAATGTTCCTCCAAGTATATTAGTAATCTGTTCAGTATTCTAATGGACTTAAGATTTAGTTTATCGTAGTTTAGTCGTTTCTTGGGCTTTGGTAAGTAATCAATCACTCCTAGATTTGATAAAATTTTGGCGATTTAGTCAAGCTGGATCAAGTTGTCATTTATTTTTGAAGAGAAGATTCTTCTAATAAAAGCTCTCTCACTTGCTTAGAGTTTTATAGAACTTAAGCTATCTAATTTAGATATGAAATGCTTGTACAATACAACCTCTTTTTCAACTTATTCCTCTCCTTCTTTATTCACTCTCACTGTATAGATATTTTCTTCTTCCAAAATTTATCTTAGTGAAAGCTTTTTGTCAATCAAAGACTAAGCAACATCTTTCAGAACTAATTCAGTTTACTCGACTATTTGATTGATCTCCTCTTATTATTCCTCATCTAACGGTGCTTTTTCCTTGTCAATGATTGACTGGGAGAGAATTGTTTTATTTTGAGATTCATAATGTTCTTCTTCACTATCTTCCTTTTATATTTTCTTTTTCTAATTTAGAGACATTGATGATGACGATTACTATTATTTGATGGATTCCTTTTTTTTCAGTTTTTGATTTAAATCTTCTATTTCTAATTTATGGTTTTCGTTATCTACTGTTAAGCTATTTATTTTTTCTAGCAACTCAGTAATCTACTCATCATTGTCACTAAGCTTATAATTATTATCCTTTATGGTATTTTCTAACTCTTCAATTGTGTTCTTTAACCTATTAATCTCCTGAATCTTAGTGATTATTTCCTCTTGAACCTTTTTTAGTTTTGCTTATTATGAATCTTGGTAGTCATTATACTCTCCTTATATTCTGTCTTTATCATTTTTCAATGATTGATACTTATCTTGAAGTGATTTAAGTTCATTATCAAGCTACTTATTTTCATTATTTAAGTCTGTTAGCTCTTGCTAAGTATCCTACAAATGCTTTTTATATTCATTGAGTTCATGATTTGAAGCATCTAGACTTTTCTATATATTCTTATTAAGAATAGCCTATTAAGCGATTGTGTTATCTTTCATAATTAGTTCTTCACACAACTACTCTATTTTATCCCTTTTCACCTCAATTTCCTCAATGTATTCTTTTTCTGGTCTCTTAGGGATCATTGCCTCTGTTTCTGCCAGTTTTTACTTGATATCTTCAATTTCTTTCTTAAGCTTTTTAATCTGATTCTTATGCTTCTTAATCTCCTGATCTCTTAGGTCAATCTATTCGGCCCTATCTTGCTCTGTCTCTCTCAATGTATTTTAAAGTTAATCTAGCTTATTCTCATAAAATTCTATTTTCTATTACTGGTTCTAGATATCCAACTAAGCCTAGGAATAGGTGTTCTAAAGCTTTTGATACTACTAAGCTTAATCATTTAGTTGCTACTTAAAATTCTAAGTTTGTAATTGAAATTGCTGTGATTGCTCTATGTTTGCTTACTGTATTTTTTTAAGGTCAATCTCTCCGCTAAATTTTATTGCCTACTCAGTTATTTATCTCAATCTCAAACACTCCTACATATAAGTTTTTAGCTCTATCTCAAGTTCTTTGATTTTTGTTGACTTAATCTCCTTTTTAAGATCATAAATCTCAGCATCTTTATTGAATACGTTATCTTTGAGGTCTTACACTTGTCTCTTTAAGTTTATGATAAGTAAAGCATCCTTATTGAGATTGTTCTTAGCGAATGTTCCCTAGGATGTGATGAAAGCAGATTTGTATAAATCATCAAACAACTTATCTCTGCTGCCAATCTGAGCAAGTAATTGCGCAACCCTGGTCCTTAGCTTCAAATTGTCTTCCTTATAGTCATTGAGTTGCAGTTTCAAATAGATATTTTAGTCATAGAGATCTTCTTTCTTATACATCATGGATGCTGGAATCAATTTCTTCCGGTAAGTACTATTCATGAAGTCGTTTTGACTCAACTAGAACTTTTTATTGAGTTGATTCATGTAGGGCTGAAACATTTGCTATAGATATTCAGTTTAAGGCTCTGGAAGCTTGCCATTTACTGCAGAAATTGGTCGCTTAGATTTTCTAATTGAGCCACCTGGAGAGTCTTATAGATTATTACCGTTTCTCATCATTGGTAGGGTACTTGCTGCAATCTATGGCATCATTAATGGTCTTCCGTAAGGTGAATTGATAGCATTCTACTGAGCATATTATTCAGGAAAGTCATTTTAATAGTATTCTTAATCTGCTGCAGTTAACTCTATTTGATTTTAGAATTGCATTTTATTTTAATTATTCTAATTTCATATTTCCTAATTTTAATTTTCCAATTTTACGGCTTCAAAGCAATGCTACTTCATGGGGTTTTGGGGTTTTGGGGAGATCGGA